TGACAAAGATATGTAATGATGGAGGCAGGGATTTAACAATTTAACAATAAACTTTATTATCCAAAATGAGTCTGACATCAGTGCACTGAACAGTAAAGTTGAAGTTTATTCAACTTTAATTCAATTCAATTCCATTCAACTTTATTCTGTTGAAGTTTATTTCACTTTTGAACATTCATTCACGGATTTGCGCTACTGTCTTCACACACAGACGAAACTTACTAGAGAAGTGTGAAGTGTGACATAATATACCTCTGTAAATAAATACAATATAAATTCACGTCTCGCGCACTTTAATGCCCTTTGAATGTAACGTGTACGTTCCCTTGGAACTGGAATCATGGCGGAATTTCATGTGAAGTCCACTTCGCAGGGCACTTACAGTCGAATAAGACAACGCTTGAATGCTGCTGCCTGAACAAGAGACCTCCTTACTGAAGTGAAAGTGTTGGCTGGTGTCACTATCTCGCGAACGCACTGGCCGGATCTCCATCAAATTCGGGGGTCCCTTCAGCTCGAGGAGCCCTCTCGAACGCCACCCTCCGCGCGTCGGTAGCCCCCCGGGATCGCTAGATCGGTCGGCGCCGGCCCGCGAATTTAACCGCCCGTAACTTCCAAACCCCGGGGGCTATCGATGCGGCGTGGTCTCATTCGAAAGAGGGCCTCGAGACTTACACTCGATTCGCGTTCGAGAGGGTTCCTCGAGCTGAAGGGATCCCCCGAATTTGGTGCGGATCCGCCGCGCCGTTCGCGAGATAGTGAGATATATCGGCGACAGGCTCATATCGGCCGATAGTATCGGCTAAACGATATATCGGTCGGGCTCTACTGCACACATCCCGCGGAAGAATATTCCAACCGGAGCTACTTCTCTAAGTTTATGTCTATGGCGATTCACGCAGGTATGTGTTACTCCGCAGCGGTGACGACCCGACCAGGCTACAATAGTCCAAATATAAGTACTTATTATAAGTGTACCGTAGTGATTCGGAATAAGACAAAAACGCAGTTTGGAAGATGAATTCATTATGTACTCGCTCATATACATTTTGCAAATTTTGAACACAGAAAAAGCTACATAGTGCTGCTTTAAACCGATGCGAGCTTCGGATCTTTCAATGTTTCTCTATGGCGCTGAAACCTAAAGGTGTCTGAGTTCTGCTCCCCGTGCAACTGATACTCGACTGCCATTGGCTCATCTGCGTTTGAGGGGAGGGGCTTACCAATAGGTCAATTGTTATACTTTCCAGCAAACAAAATGCCTTTCGTATAATTCTAAAAATGTCCCCCTTCAGGTCTTAGTACTTAGTTCTTGCTGTGAAATCTTTACGGTTTTTTTTTTTAATTTTTTAGTAATATTTCAAGATGAACACTTACTGGACTGAAGCAACTTGATGATTTCTACCCATTGGATCGGCTTTGTTTAGTATATTTAAGCATATAATTAGGACATACTGTGTTTGAATTGAATCCAACTCTACTTAAAATTATCATTATTCAGTGCTTTTCAAGATACAAATTGATGCAAAGCAGCTTTACAGAAAATTCAAGTTCCTAGTTATGAGATGTTTTATTTTTGTTGAATTGGAATAATTGTAAAGATCTCAAATGACCTTACTTGAATTGGCTGTTAAAGAAGGGCTTTCTCCATCAGTTATTGATTTAACAAGTGTCTGTCTCTGGGATTGAATGTACAGTGTTTTAAATATGAGTGTTTATTAAATACCCAGAACTGTAGTCTATTCCGATGTTCAGTTCTATGATGCTACGTTTACTCACATTCATTAAATAACATTGTTTTATAAAGTGTACAACTCTAAATGGCTATTATAGGATAATGAGCAATATGGGGAATATCACGTTTTTTTTTTTTTGCAGGCCTCCCCTGAGTCTGAAGGAGAGAAAGAGCGGAAAGGAAGAGAGAAAGAGAAGGATAAAGAGAACGACAAATCCAGAGGGAAGTCACGTGGAGAATCCAAACAGAAATCCCCCAAAAGAAAGAGTACAAAAGAAGAGGTAAGCGATCGTATCGGAGACGGTGTCTGTAGAGTCTCATTTACCCAGATGAGATCTGAAGCCCTCTGTCTGTCTCTCAGGGTGGATGGGATACGTCTGGAAGCGAGCTGAGTGAAGGAGAGCTGGAAAAGAGGAGGCGTACTCTCCTGGAGCAGCTGGACGCACCATAAATCACTCTCTGTCCGTCTCTCTCTCACACTTGCATTCCTGTAATGTGTTATGCATCCTCTTGGGATGAGCATCCGAGTGTTTGGCTGTGAATCCATTGACCGTCATGTAGTCTCTCTGAGAGGCAGTATTGTCTGAACATCAGCACTCTTCATCTGGGCATGTTGATTTTGTAAGATTATTTTCAGAGGTTGCAAGTGTTATGTTGCCTTTAACTGCAGAACCCTTTTTTAGTCAGTTGTATATTTGTTATTGCCAATAGTTTTAAACATCACTGATAATGTGGAATAAAATGAACAGGCCTGCATTATTCAACTTCAGATTAATCTGTAAGATTGTCTGTAAAAGCCATTTTTGGATTCGGTATGACAGATGTCTGCAGCATTGTTTTCAACTTGAATTTTGACAAATAAACTATAAAATGCTTTATTGTTGCTCTGTTCTCTGGAGATCCAAACCTGCTCATTTTCATCTGCAGTGATCTTTTTGTTAATCATGTTTTCTAAAGTAACTTCAGATCATCATGAAACTGCCACTGAGGTTTTAGAAGTCAGCTGACAATTTCGGACTAAAATCTGTCCATTCAAGTGAAGAAAATAGATAATAAAAATTAATAAATATAGTCAATATCTATAAATTCAAAGCTTATAATTGCATATATAATGCGTTAAGGGTATAATATAAATGCAGACCTGTCACCCTGTGCACATCTGTAGGCAGGTGTGATTTGAGACTCTATAAAACTATGCAAAAGCTGGTGATACATTTTGTGTGTAATTGTGCACGTGCAGAACGTTAGTCAAGCAAGAGACGGTGGCGTATAGCCTGACGAAAAACAATAGAAAAAGAGTTTGCGTAATAACTGTAGGCTACTTTAGTGCTGCAAAAATATTGTGCTTCTCAGCTGGCCAATCAAATCAAAGGAAGGCGGGATTTACTGTTCAAAGAAGCCTAGAGTGACCTAGTGTAGACGCCTAGTCAAAGTTCAGTATTCGAAGTTAATTACATGTTAATTTGATAAAGAAATACGCATGAAACCAAATTCTAATTTACTTGGGAAGCCACAGTATAATATAAATGCAGACCTGTCACCCTGTGCACATCTGTAGGCAGGTGTGATTTGAGACTCTATAAAACTATGCAAAAGCTGGTGATACATTTTGTGTGTAATTGTGCACGTGCAGAATTAGTCAAGCAAGAGACGGTGGCGTATAGCCTGACGAAAAACAATAGAAAAAGAGTTTGAGTAATAACTGTAGGCTACTTTAGTGCTGCAAAAATATTGTGCGTCTCAGCTGGCCAATCAAATCAAAGGAAGGCGGGATTTACTGTTCAAAGAAGCCTAGAGTGACCTAGTGTAGACGCCTAGTCAAAGTTCAGTATTCGAAGTTAATTACATGTTAATTTGATAAAGAAATACGCATGAAACCAAATTCTAATTTACTTGGGAAGCCACAGAAATGGGCTTTATGCAACAGGCCTCAAGTCTATTCTAGCTGTGAAAATGCATTGACTTGATATTCTGTCATCTTTGCATTGCAGCCTGGATCTCGACCTTAAATTTCAGAACCAGGCTTTTTTGGAGGGCAACATCCTACTTCTGTTCACTCGCTCAAGAACAACACAGAAGACCAGCATTGTGTAAATAGTTTAATTGGACATCGTCTAACTTTAAGTACTTACAGTACTTTTTTGCAGTACTGTAAGCATTCAATGCCTAAGATACATTGATTTCAGGGGAAAAAATGCCAGTTTAATCCAGTTCAATTTCTGACATGTTAGAAGGTGATGACCTGGTTCAGGTTTTCACTTTTATTAAATATACAAAATGCAGGAAAAAAAAAAGAGAAAGCTACAAGTTAAAATATTCAAATGTTGTAGTACAGAATGATTTTTAAACGGTATTGTTTTTAAACTATGTACAATATTAGATTAAAAAAGTTAAAAAGCTGCAACAATTTTATAGCAAAATATCTGTACATTTAACAAACACTTTTTTTTTGTGTGTGATTTTATATTTTTGCTTTTAAATAGAATTACACGTCTCAAGAAATGTGAATTTTCATTTGTGCAGGTCATTATAGAACCACACAAAATTCAGTTTATATAACAGGCCTTATTTCCCATTATAAGACCTAGAACGCACAAAACAAGCCCAGTTACTGTAACTGAATTCGAGCAGGAACCTGATCTTGTGGAATGAAGAACAAGAGCCAATGTCACCAATTAAGTTGTGTCAAGTGCTTAAAATTCATAAAGGAATATTCTGTGTTCAAAACAACATCGGTGTCGATTACCACAGACTCCATATTAAATACAATATTCCATTGACCTCAGTGCACTTCCGATGGAAGTCTATAGAGCAAGTGTACAAGGGTTTAAAATGCAGACATTCATATTTTTGTTAAAGCACTTTTTGAGCTGACATCTTTTGTAATTTTAGCAAAGAGACTACTGTGGATTTCTGGTTATGTTAACTCTGGTAACTTCTGTTCTGACAAAGTCATCCAGTTACACGGTCTTGACAAGAGTGTTATATTGCTGGTTAAGACAACATTGGTTTTAAAACAGAGACATATTTGATTCTATCACAGTAGTCAAGTGAACATGGATTAAGTCTTGAGGTTTTCGTTTAAAAACTGAACTTTTACATTCGTTCCTGCGCAATGCCTTGCCCCATAAACTTTCATTGGAAGTGCTTTAATGTAAACAATATTTTGGCAGAGCACAGAGCTTCACCTGTGTTGAACGTGGAACATTAATTAGTCAATGAACTTTTGAAAATGCTCGACTCCTCTTGACTCCATAATTTGTAAAGGCTGCAGAAGTACTAGACTTTTTCTGCACTTTGGTTTAGGTAATCCTGACCAACCCACAGTTTGAAGACCAAAACCTAATGCAGTCTTGCTTGTGCACCATTTTAATTAAGACTTGTCAGCAGTCTTTCAGAAACACGAGGTACTGGAGTTCTGCTGCCTCTGGTTTATATTTCACATTTGCCTTTGTCCCATGTACTTAACAACACACCTTTACCTACACCTTCTCCTACTTAACTGAACTCCATCTAATTATGTGGCCCAATAGTGCAACACCCGTTCACGGCCCCCTGCAGTAACTCCACCATGACCTTCTGATTAGAGTTGGACCAGGATGTCAATTAGTCCAACAGACGACTGACTATTCTTAGTTTATAATGGTTTTTAAAGGGGGGCCTGTCCCAGTACCCACACTTGCGATCTTTGTGACCACTTCAAAGCCATTTCCAACCCGATTTCATGACAATTTGTACATATTTTATGAAGTGGTTAATTCGTACAACCTCACTCGTACGAATGTGTACGACTTTTGTTAAATCGTACGTATTTTGTTAAATCGTACATATTGGAAGTTCCCCAATTCGTATGAATTCATACCTGCCACTGGGGTGTAAACAAATCATGCAAAATCGTTAAAGTTCATACGCGAATTCATACGAACTGGTCGTGAGATAGCGTTGGTATTTCCTGTATTTGGCCCATGTTTTCAAGTGGGCGTGAAGACTAGGTCCCAAGTGTGTCCCATTGGGTAACCAGTGTGGCATGTTTGATTACTCAATGGGACACACAACACAGTTTTTACAGAGCTTTATTTACACATTCTGATTTTCAATACTTTGCACTTTAAAAACAAACTTGTAAATGACTGTTCAGATGACAACTTAATTGTGGTGCTTTGGCATTTTCAGACCTGGGACAGTCTTCCTGTTGTGTACACGTGCCCTCAAGTGGACAAGACCACAGGTGTGGGTCTTGAGAACAACACATTTAAATACCTTCAAATCAGGAATGCTATTATTGTTATCTTTGTCCACTGTCGCACCCTACAGCATCTCAAGACATTAACATTTTATACAACTTTTACAGAAGTTTTTAAATGTTTCAAATGCTTCTCAACCTGTATTCCATTATGTTGGGCTCTATCTATCAGTTTTTTAACACAAGAATACCATGTGAACGCCACAATAAAAACAGGCTCTGACAGACACTACAGGACTTCTTTAAGACCGACCAGTAGATTTGGAAAAAAAACAACAACATTGATCTGTTGTTTTGATCTGTGGCGAAAGCACTGGAATGTATGAATGCAACCGTTGTACAGGTTCATGATACATAAAGTGTTGGAATAGTTTTACATTCAGACACTTTCTCAAGAAAAACACTGATCTCGCCATACACTTGATGCACCATAAGATAAAAGACAGCTCAAGACATCGTTTGTCATATAAAAATTCACAGACAGAAGACACTGACTAAAACACATGTATGATTCAACACCTGATGGGACAGATGTTAAATGTAGGCACTTGGCTTTCAGACCTGCTGTCATCTTCATCAGTCCTTCATTAGCTCCTCCTCCACTCCTCCAGCCCATCCAATCACATCCACTCTGCCTTCGTCACATGACCATCTCTGCATTGTTCATTGGCCGCAAATTCTGATCATCAAAACGTCTACGAATGCTCCTCCTGATGGCGTCAGCGCGCCTGTAAGGCTGGTTTCTCAGATCTGATGCAGGAGGAATAGAGTAAAAGGATGTCAGTATTTGAGTTTAGATCCTCTGGACATGCTGGTGGTCAACTGGGCAAAGCAGCTTGAGTTTTTACTGGAATAAATACTTTTTCAGCTTCAGAATTAAATGGGAAAGGAAACTATGGAGTTTGCCTCTTTTTAGGAACTTGTTTTTAACAAGGTTGTTGGGAAAACACCAACAGTGGCCCCGAAATGTATTTGAAATCGCACATAAAATGTCTGAATGTCACTGCATTATTTGACAAAATATAATACAGCAAGTGTTATCTTGTGCTCAAACGCTGCAGGAAGTACCTCAGTTTTGTTCTATGACAATGACTTTTAATAAACGTGTGTTTTGGAGGTTTTAACAGATGTACAGTATTCCTAGCACAAACAGTACAGCATGGCACTACCAACGCCAAGGTCATGGGTTTGATTCCCAGGCAAAGCAGGAATTCCTTAAATGCAGTCTAAGTTGTTTTAGATAGAAGTGTCAGCTAAATGCATAAATGTAAATCAATTAATCCTCACGTTATCTTAGCAGAGTAACCAGAGAATCGATTAACTGTGCTGCAATGTAAAAGTAGGCTACTACTTTTAAATGTCCTTCAAAAAAAAAAAACGTAAAATTTGTTAACCTTGTAAAACATTCCTTGTAATATAATTTAGTCTATGCTACACAAGCAAGAGGCTGTGATTTAGCTGCAGATAATCACAGATACTGACTGCGGAAAACACAGGAGTTCAGTAACGAGATGTGAATTTTGCACAACAAAATTTAGATACACACAATAATGTGTCTGATTGAATCAGTGTTTTTGAACAAATTGTCTGAATGAATGATTCAATGACCCTCGCCTATCGCCACCTACTGGCATATTTATGAAACCTGCAGAATGAGTGACTCAGCTTGTCTGCAAATAGACAAGTATAAATGCCATTTTTTGTATATTATATGTGAACCTGGAGCACAAAACCAGTCTTAAGTCGCTTGGGTATATTTTTTGAAATAGCCAAAAAAACATTGTATGGGTCAAAATTATCGATTTTTCTTTTATGCCAAAAATCATTAGGCTATTAAGTAAAGATCATGTTCCATGAAGATATTTTGTAAATTTCCTACCGTAAATATATCAAAACTTAATTTTT